GTCACGGTGGCGAGTGACGTTGTGTTAGGTCACTGCGGTGCCACTGACTGCAGTACCCCGGGGGTGCGTCAGGCGGTGTCCCCACTGCAGGAGACTGACGAGCATGAGGTCGGTTTAGGTTCCTTAAGGTCTGGGCTCCTCTCGTCCGGCTGGCAGTGCATTGCCATATCCCCGCTATCGCCCTAAAAAACAAGAACACGAAGAACACAACTTCCAAACAAAGATGCAAAATTAAGATTTTTTTTAAATATCTACACCGTCAGAATTTCACATAAAAATTAAACATTCGTACCTAGTGTGATGTCACACTGCAACCTTTAAAATTTGCTGTCATAGGGAAGAGGGTGTAAAATGATCTTCTGTGGTTTAATGCTGTTTGCTACACGCACTTGACAGCGCTCTGCGGGTGAGCCATGGGTTGTGCCACTTCCCTGGGAAGCGGAGCAGGGAAGGGCTCCGTAATGAGCTGGGAGGGGGCAGCCTGGCCCCTGAAATCAGGAGGGCTCTCGGGGGTCTGCGCCCGGTGCTGGAGGTGGGGAGCCCTGGCTGACGTGTTGCTTCATGGGAGCAACCTCACCAACATCTAGGAAGCAGCAGAAAAAGCGTTTGTAAATCAAATTTGAAGGAAGTTTAAAATAGCTTAGGCTACAGTTTGAGCACGAGGATTATGCAAAATGAGTCAAATGGAAAATAAAGTTCCCAGTGTTTCACCGTGAGTGAGGGCCCTGGCCAGCAACAAACCTGAGAATGACTTCCTTGATTCCCAAACAGGTCCACTTTGTGTCTCATCATTTCCTTTCTCCAGTCCAACGTTTATGGCTCCAAAAATATTTGAAAGTTGAGGGTTTGGGTGAAAGGGCTGGAAGAAAGGGGCCTGAAATTGGAGAGGTATGGTCCAAATGCATTTGGGCTGGAACATTTTGGGAAGGTGTAGGTAACCCACCAAGTACTGCGCAAACCTGTGAAACAGAAGGACTTGGCAAGCTTTCTCCAGCAGAGAAAGGACATCCAGAACACATGGACAGAATATGAAATGTTTAGTTAAACACAACGTTTTGTTAAAAACAGAGGAAAACACTGACAGTGCTATAAGGAATATGTAAATTTTTAAACATGCTTCAAAAAGCTAGAACATTGTTCCCTCCTTCCCCCTGAAATGTATTTTGATAATTTCCAAGCAGACGGTAAAGAAAAGGAAATTATATCAATCCCGTTGGGGAAAATGTGACATTCTGACTTTTTGAAGCCTATGAAGAGGTTTATAAACTTAAAAAATGAAAAAGACGAATTTAATCTTTCCAGACTTGTCAAACTTGTCTCAATTAATTTTTGATGACATAATTAGAACTTACCGCTTTAATGTGCGCTTTTTTAGTTTACTTTTCAAAAGATTTTATTTTTAAAGACTCGAGGAGAACGGAGGACTTTGTGGTGGGAACCGGAGCAGGAAGAAGGGGAGGATTCTGTGTAGGTTCGAGTGCTGATTCAGAGTACTCTATTAAGCCAAGAGAGATGAACTCATTTTTTTCCTCCCTTGGGGAATCAAACAAGAAACAGGAAGTCATTGATTCAAAGTAAGATCATTCATTCTGCAATTGTAAACAGTATATTATGCGCCTGTAAATATTTCCAGAACCCATTGGCTTATTGGAAAATATGAAGTAAATTATTGCAATCTCTAACAAACAACCCACAATAAAAAGAGTTATTTTCAAACCTTTTATCTGTAATGTTTATACAGTGGAATATTAATTAGCTCGGACATTGAGAAACTACTTGGCTGAACACATTGTTCGCTGCCAGAAATCCATCTACTCGAATGTTTTGTCTGTTGAAAGACAAACATTTTTAACTCCACCCTGTAATATTGCGCCCTACAAAAAAGCAAAAATTCTTTCACTACTTGATCCGTTTGTGTTTTCACTACCACAAACACTGAAATATCCTACTGTTAACCAGATGTTGGCTGAGTTCATCTCTGTCTTACGTAGCTGTAATTAGTCATTATTAAAAACTGTAAATAGACAGTCTAATAGGAAATTATTATTCCCTATTACTTAGGAGAGAGATTCCAGGCTGTCTGTCCAAATCAATCTGCAGCTGAAACTTTGCTTCCTCTGTAAAGTAGGAGAAGCTGCTGCTTGGAAGCGCCACCTTCCCCCCCTTGAGCTTGGGGACTCTGCCCAAGGACAGAGGAGCGAGGATTAGGGACCGGACAACGGTGAGCAACCTGCTTCCCTGACAGTCCAGGGAGTTTTCTGGCAAGGGGGGGAAAAGCCATCACCCAGAAGGCTGGCAGATGAAATGCTTGTGTGCTTAAAGTTTAGAATTTGGGTGTTGTAGGATGAGCTCAGGAAACTATTTTAATAACGTGCTTAAATCCCAGCAATTCCATGAGGATTCCCGAGTAGGGGATTCCTGAATAGGGATGGTTGTAACCTCCATGTTTAACATCTTGAATCATAGCCTGCAAGACCAAGAGAAAGAGAGAGTCAAGAATGAAGTAGTTACCTTCAGACAAATGATTGTGGTGAAAACTGACCAAAGTTTAGTCAGTTTTTCTTTCCTCTTTTTTTGCCCTCTAACTTAAGATATGGAATGAAAGGAACAAGGAAATTAGGTAAGTTAAATGAAAGGAAGTTTGGAGACCTGCTTAGCTGTGATGAACTTGAGAATAATCTGAGACTAAAAATTCAAGAGAGAACTAAAACATATTACTCAACGTATCGAAGAAAAGTTAAGGACTTTTTGGAATCCTACTCATGACTTTGATTTCTCTTGCGATGCTTTGCCTTTTCCTTTTTTCTTCCTGGTGTCAGAAACAGTGGAAAAGATAAATCCATAGGTCCTTCCCCTCCAGCTGACGTGAGCTTGGGAAAAGAGGGGAACTGGGGCTGCCTCCTCCAACAGTGGGAGGAAGGGGATCGCTTAATCCCAGGACTGGAGCAGTCCTTCAGAGGGGGGCTCTCAAAGACATCACTTAGTAATCCATACTAACTGGGTCAGGAGTTGCAGTATGGACCTCTGTGTTATGCATGATCTTCCTCTGCTGGGCTCTTCCATCACACTGAAAGTAGTGGGTACTTGCCTTTCTTTGTCAGTGCCTCATTGTCCATGACAAAGGTGACCAACATGCAGCATAACCTTATGACTGGTAATTTTTTGTTTGCTGGGATCTTTCAGCTGCCTTCCGCTGCATAGTGTTTTTTATGGCTGTTTGTTACTTCGAAGATAAATTGAATACTTGTGGGGAATTCAAGCTTTATTTTCAAAGCCAAACTTAGGTGTTTCGAGCCCTGCAAAGGCCAGGGCCTTTGCTCGCAAGGGAGCTTCTTGGACTGAATGGTAACATTCAGCCATCCACCTACTCTCTATTAAGCTGTCTACAAATACTTGGAATACAACAGACCCCAGTCCTTCTGCTTACACACAGATGATTTTCTTGGCTTCTCAGACTCCAACCATGATGAGCCAGCTCTCATCCTGAATAATTTTTCCAGTAGTGCTTGTCCAAAAGGGCACTGAGCTTAATTTCCAGAAGGCATGAGCGGTTAAATGTAGATAAAAGCACAGATTTGAACCTAAAGCATGCATGAACCAGGATGTTCTGAGATCCGCAACAGCTAATGTAAAGGGATTATTTTTCATGTGGTGGACCGATTAGGGACCTTTACTTCCCTTTACATTTGGGACCATAAATTCTCCTTTGGATCTCATTATGGATATTACATTTTCAAGGCAATTTGATTAAGCATAAGAATTTTAAAACACTTTTTTGAAAGAGTCATCAGCCAAACATTAAACTTGCACAAAACCAAATGTGCTACTAACTCACAGGTAGTTAGACCTATATCAGGTCCTTCCTTAGCAAAAGCTCAGTTGTCTGTAAGTCTCTTCTACGTAAGAAAGGATATATACAGTAATTGGAGATTTAAATGGGTGATGTGTCTCTGCTTATCAAGGAAAACATATTGCAGCCCTCAAATAATTGAAGAAATTAAATTATGATAAACCTAAATATTATCAACACAGATTTCAGAAATCTCCTGTTTATGATAAGGGCCTTTGTAGACTAATGTAGTTTTACTAAGTTTTATGAAGCTGTACATGTACAAAATCCGGGGGCATTCTTGAGATTTATATAAAATAGGTTAGTATGTATATTTAAAAAAATGTCAGACATTAAATACAGACTCAGTTTGATGTGGGGATTTTTTCCCTTTCTTTTTCCAGCATAAATATGGCTGAACTTTCAGAGCCAGAAGGTACTGTAAACTGGAAGGAAAGATGTTTAACGCTGGAGTCACAGTTAATGAAATTTCGTCTCCAGGCAAGCAAGATCAGAGAATTGTTAGCAGAAAAGGTAGGTCTCGTGGTATGAATTTTAATGTGGTATACATGGTTTTATTTGATGATAGGGGCTGATCACCTGTCATGGTTTGAGATTACAAGTACTGGGATTTTTTCAGGAGGGGAAAAAAAAAGCATTTTAAAACAAAATGTGTGGAAAACAGGTATGTTTTAATGCTGTGAAACAATTTCACACCTTAAGTTTGCCAGCAAGAAATGTTAATTTTCAAATAAGAACACACTGGCAAATCTCCTGCAGAGAAAAATATGTATCCAGTAATCACTTTTACAACGTTGAAGTTAATATTTAACACATTTTCCTAAGTATTTAAGATCTGATTTAAGACACAGAAATCACTGGGGAGAAAATCCAGAAGTATTATTTTCCCCAGTATTCCTTACCGAATCATATAATTTACCAGACTTGTTTTTCCTATAATAAGACATCTCCAACTATGGCTCGTCATCTGAGTCTAGGGACCCAGGAAGTTGAAAAGTATTATATAATTTAATCTGAAGAATATTGTTTAAATATATATTTTATTTTGCAGTAGAGAAACAGTTCACTTGGCATGTTCAAATATGTGTATCCCAACAGTCAACCATAATTGAGCCCATATCTGAAATGTAAAAAACCCCGTTGTATTTACCTGCTAATATTTTCACAGAACAAGGCAATTAAAAGAGAACAAGGGACAAAACATTTTAGACAATCATTGGAACTATGTCATCATGAATATTCACTTCAATGAATTTCTAGTTTAAAAGGTATTATGTCAAAACTACTCTGTTCTTGATAGAGCTAAATTTTCTATAAATTGGTCCCCCTTTATAGTATTGTAGAGTGATGATACTTTTATTTTATACATTTATGTTACAGCTTCTCTATTGTGAATTTATCCATTCTCCCTTTGAAGCCATAAATACATTTAGTTAGCATTCACATTTAGCCCTCTCTGAATCATTCCCATTTTACTATATTTTGGTGGAGACAAGAGCTAAATAATATTGAAGCAAGAAGAAACATATATTTTTGTATTTATGAAGAACAGTAGCTGATGTACAAAGTTACGTGCTCCGTTCCTTTCCTAATTATGCTTAACATTTTGTTTTCTTTGACAGCTAAATTAACCATCAAGTATGTTTTCACAGAGATATCTATCTTAATTCCAGGATCTTATTCAAAGTCCTTTAGATTTCTATGTTATGTGTCATTTGTTATTTTATTGACTGGTCGCTAAATCTTATAAGAACCTTCTTGTAAATCTTTCTTGTCAGAAAGCTTCTATTATTCTGAATAACAAAATACTATAAAAAAACCTTTGTTACTTGACTGCCCAGTGCCCATTACCAAATGTCTACACGGAACAGCATGCACCCTGAACAAATCTGTGCAGATCTCTGCTGATAGCTGGTGGTCACTGAGTGAAGTAATCAATAACCTACTATTTTTATTGAGCCAGTTTTTTAATTCATGGAGGGAGATTCACTCTTACCCTGTGGCTGTTTCTTTTAAACACTTCCCAAAATCCAACTAATTATATAAACCAGATCTCCCCTATCTGTAGCCTTGGTGATCCCCTCAAAGAACTTCGATAGCTTTGTGAGCCAACATTCATCTTTCTAAGGGCCACTTTGACTCTTCCCTTGTCTATGATACTTCTCCACATGTATTCTGCTCTTCTAGTTTCCCCTAATTCGCTTACTACAGACATCAGACTTACAGTTGGTTCAACGATATCATCCAGTCCTTGACTGAATATAATTTGGCAATTTGTTACTATTAATTTTATCTATTGATGCCCTCATCTATGGAGGTACAAAACCTCAATTCTAGATGGAAAAAAAAATGGAATAATGGAAAAACAGAATCTTTTTTATTAAAGTGAACATGAACATTTACAGCAATGTAAAATCATTGTGTAATAATACTGAGTTCCGCTGGAAATTTTATTTTTATAGTTAGTACTCCAAATAGCTCTGCTTTGGCCTGACTAAAAATACTGCTGTTAGAAAGCAGTGTAGTTGAAAACTCTTTTATTTGTTTACCCAATCCTGCAATTTTTCTGTATGGCAAACTCTCATTGAACAGGTATTGCAGAATATTGGGTTTTGAAAGAATAACCAGCTGTACAAATGCCATCCTTTGAAATTTCATTTAAAAATTTTAAAAAAAGGAAAACTACTCATGTCCTTCATTCCAGTTAGCATTATTGGATGCTTGCACAGTCAGGGCTGTTAAATGTCATAGATCTCTTCTGTCTCTCTACCCCATTTGGATCACAGCATTTCAGGATGGAAGTCAAGTGGCTAAACACTGGACACAATTTCTAGGGACTTTCCAGCAGCCGTAACTACCATTTTTTATGCAGCTGCTGTTGATTATAGTTTTGGCAACCAAGAAGTTGAGATTCATGAAACAGTACTTCACAAAACTATCTGAGTTAAGAAAAAAGATTTTAGAACTTTGCATACTTTCTATTTGACTTTTCACTTTGTTCCTTTACAGTTTGCATTTACAGGCTCTAAACTGCTAGAAATAACCTCTTAAATTAATAGAAATGTATGCATAATCATATAATTTCAGAAATCGGCATTTAAAAAAAAAGAATAAGAGGGATAAAATCAGAAATCTTCAGCACTGTGCCTGAAACAAAGCATTCAAAGGAAAATTATTTATTCTGTCTTATCTGTGAGAAACATGTCTCCAAAGTAGATAAAAAATTCTTAAGAACTTGTCATGTTACCGCCCTCTTGGTTTAGTTTGCCTTAGCTTTCTCAGAAATTTTAGAAAAAGCAAAGTGTTTACACGCAGTAAAAATGGGAGAAATATTTTTCTATTGAAGACCATGGGTCCAACAAGTATTCAGTTGGGATAATTCAATATATTACTCTCCAGAGCAGAGTATTAGCAGCCTTCATGAAAAATGATCCTTCTCTTCACTTTGTCACTTTGACTTTTTAATATGAATCTTTCATTCATAACCTGGAATTCAGTTGGGACATGGCATCAAAGACTCAACAAAATTAGACCATATTCATCTCCAAATTTATCGATCTTGCAGAATTCAAACCCAACAATTTTCAAACTGGGCACTAAAGTCTTAGCTGTATTTATTTGTATTTTGGTTTCATTTGTAACAATCCAGTGGTTATTTTCAACATATTTTTATTTTTTAAATTATCAAACAATTCTCAGTATTTGTAAAACGAAAGATACTCTCACACTAGTTTGGAATTAAACTGCATGGAATATACTCAAAAATATATTTGAAAAATAACAAAAAGTGAATAATGAAGACCTGATTGGCCAGTACTTGATGGGCATCTTGTTACTAATGGCAAGAGGAGAATACAGCTGATGTCAGCATTTATAGGTACTTTCTAGATTTGTTATCTGTTAGAGAATGAATTCTCACTCTTACTTTGATTAGCACAGGCCTTTATTTGTGGTTTTGTTTACAATCATCTCTGTGCTATGAAATGTGTACTAAAACATGGAACAATAGCACCAGACAGTGTTCTACTTCAAAATAGCAACAGAAGTCACAGTACTATGGCGTGACAGACGTAAAACCCTCATGGGTATTAAACTCCGTAATTGTTGTAGAAAACAGAGTGAGTGCGACGCTGTGACAAAACAGGTGGTCTCTACAAGAAGGGAAGAGAAATGAATTGGTGGTAATTCTCCAGCCTTCCTCCTCTGCCATGTATTTGAGAGGTATGTCTTCAAGACAGTGAATCACGAAAAGGAGTTTACATCCCATTACACTATGCGCATGACTTGTCAGAAACTGCCATGGGGTTTCCCCCCCTTATATTTGTTCTATAACTTAGTCTAAAACCAGCTTCTAATAAGGGGTTGCTTGAATCTATCCTTTTTCAAAATTTGTGTTTGTGACCTGTGTGCTTCTGCAGATACATTACAGCAGTGGATTAATTGAGACACGTTTCTTGCACACTGGAAATTAAATATCTTTGCAAAGTTATTTCATTTAATAGCGTCCCTGCAAATAAATGAATGATCAATATAGGAAGTCTTCAGTATATTCTTCTAATAGATGTGTTCTAATTTAAATAAAAAACCAAACAATTTTCTGGGTTTTCAAAGTCCAGCAAATACTTATCCTTGAACCTCAGTGGTTGAGGTGTGTGAGAAATTTGCATTATAACTGTGTTTCAGCAGTATGGCTGCCAGAACTTTAATTTTGTAGTGAACTTGGGGGGGAAGAAGGGAGGGGAGCAAAGGAATATACAATGTTTTCAGAAAACTAATCCATTCACTGTTGTTTATGTGTTTGGGGTTTTTATTTGGTTTTCATTTTGCCAAGTAAAGAGTCTATATTTATAAACCTTAACATGCAAAGAAAGAGACCTTGTTGGAGTTTTAAGCAGAAGCTGCTGCTGTAAGTGGGAGAGGTCTTTACAGGAATTTAAGGAATGATGTTGAAAGTATCCCTAGTACACCAAATTTAGGATGGCTGTGGAACTGAGTTTTAAGGAGAAGTCTTTATTTTAATGCAGCAAGAGTCTTATGCATATGAAGAGCTTACTAAAAAAACCTTCACTGAATAAAAGATTATTCTACTGCAAGTTCAGTTCCTACCAAGCATTTCATGTCATCATAGGCAAAATTTGATGGCCCTCATTCTTTTCATAGAAAGTACATTTTTTCACCTAAAATAGATGTGCAACATCAGGTATGAAGTTAATGTTTTTCCTCTCAGTAAAATCATTTTAGTACAAGAACTACATAGCTGTGTTAAATTTCCTCTTGGGCAGCCTGCACTGACTTTCTTTTTCATCAGACCCCGTAAGGACTGAATGTGGCACTATCCCAAATGTTGCATTATGGGCCGTCCTGTAATACTCAACATTCACATAAACGTCTCCAAGTTTGTTTCCTTCAGTGCTGAGGGTCATTATTTTATGCTTTGAATGATTTTCAACAAATAAAAAGGATTAAGAGAGAGGATTATTTTCATATATGTATTGATTTGTTTGCTTTTAATC